GTCCGGGCCTGAATAAGGGCTATGAGGTTTTTGGGGTTTGTCTTCCCTGGGGAGAGGAGTTTGCCTTAGTAACCCTGTTACAAACTGACCTTGTTGCATAACCTGTCCATGTTGAACAAAACCACTTCTATCAATGAACTTTAAGTCCTCAAGGTCTTACAGGGGCAAATCTGGTCTACTTGTATAGGTCTGGGAAACCATCTGTTAAATCCTACAATGAAAAGTCAGGCACAATGAAAATTTAGTTAGCAAACACAGGTTGCATATCCTTTTAAATAGGAACTCTCGGCCCAATTAGGGTCCAAGGGAAATTTTCGTGGATGAGATCCCAAAGTTAAAGAGCATACATGTGTAAGATATCAGCAACAGCAGCAGGCAGTATGGAGCAGAGAATAGAACTCCCTGCATCTTTATTGTACAATTCTTATATGGGTTGTTATCTTATATTTACCTTCTTACATAGTGCCATAACCAGCCATGCATGTTTACTTGTGCTAAGTCCTGGTTACATACTGTATCCCACTGTGCGCCTGTGCTAGACAAGGGCGGGGGGGTCACATCCTCAGGTGTCCTAACGTGCCCCTGAGCTTTGAAGCAGTCTGAGCGGTTCTCCACATGGACATAAACACAAAACCAGTTTGAGGTCACAGTTGTTATACTCAAAAGCAAAATTAAATAGAATGGAAAGAGCAACTGATAGTAGAGAACTAACTCCAGGTGGAGGTAATCTTAGGTTGGCTTTAGGACTAAGAAAACAGGCTGGCTTTCCAACTCTGCCAGTGAGAGGACTGCATTTTTTTAAATGACCATAAATTTTTCTTTCTGTTCCTGTGCGAAGAAGTGCAAAGCTATTACTCTGCTTCTTAACTCACAGCTGATGATTTTACCTTTACTGGCTGTTCCTTTGTTCTGCTCAGGCCATCAGTCACATAATTCTTTCAAAATTACCTACATTTCTGTTAGAAAAGCGGGAAAATGATCTAACCCAATTTAGAAGAGAAGAGGGGAAGGAAGCCCACATTTCCCAAAATCAAGGGCTTGCTCCTTTCTACAAAAGTGAGAATTCCTGGTGTCTATGAGGTCAGTTAAAAAAAAAAAAAAAAAAAGGATAGAGAAGCAGCCAGGAGACCAACCAAAATGACTAATAAACATGGAAGAATCTTGTGAGCAGTTCATGGGAGGGACCAAAACGGCTACCACTCATGGCAGACAGGTTGACTGGGACCAAACAAGACCCTGAGAAAGCAACTCAGTAAGGATACCCAGAGATAAAAGGCCATCCAGGGGAAAAGTGCAGATGAGACTTACAGCACTAACAGAGTAAACTGGTAGGTGGCTATTCAAGCAGGAGACCAAATTACCAGTAGAAATTTTTCCCAAGAGAGGGAGAACTCAGCAAAGTATCAGAGAGAATAGAAATGTGAGGTCAAAAAGACATAGTACTAAACTTTCGGTCATATACATGGAGCCTAAATAATCTGTTTTGCAACTGGGTTATTAACAGGACCTCTGGCAGCTGTTTACTGACCTGCAGTGAGTGACAAAAAAAGAAGAGAGAGAAGAAAGAAAAAGGAAATAAATTTGAGGTGAACCAATGGGTCTCTTACCAGCTGGGAAAAACACAGAAGCCATGTGCTTCCCTCCCTTCTCCCACCCGGTGGGACACATATAGAAGTATGCTTGCTGCCATGAGAAAACTTCCTGAGTTCCCCAGGTTCCATTGATTTTTATCACCCTTTAATTCTGTGACTCTCCTAGTAACTAAAAGAATTTGAACCTTCCAAAGAATAAAAAAATCATCCTGAGGAGAAACAGGATAAAAAGGGGATTGGAACTTTCCTGGTGCAGAGTGGGAAAAACACTAGCCATAGATTTTAGAAATAAACTGTACCCAAAGAATCTTACCTACACTTGACTGGCTCAACAAGATACACTGCAGGATTTGGAGGTGTTGAATTCTCCTTATAGGAGTATTTTCTAGGTTCTTGCTATCCTAAATAAAGAATTGGTCAAGATAAGAGCAAAAGGTGATGAGGTTTTATATTTAAAGGAAGAAAAGGAAACATGCTCTGCACAGTGAATTTGGGCCAAGTAAAAGGGGAAAAAAGTGCATTCTATAGCTTGAAAGCAAAGTACTATGGAAGAAACAACACAGTAGCCAGGAACATCCTTAATATGAGCCAAATGACCAGATGTGATGGCACACACTGGTAATCCCAGCCCTTGGGAAGCTGAGGCGGATTACTGCAACTTCAAATCTACTGGGGCAACATAGCAAGTTCAAAGCCAACCTACTACATAGTGAGAACCCTATCTCAAAAAACAAAGCAAAGAAAACAAACTGACACTTGTTTGTTCTCCTTAAAGGTGGTTTTAGGTACAGGAAGTAAGTGACTTTCCTTGGGACCTGAGGTTATAACCCAAATATGATTTTTGGCAGTCCTGCCAATGTTTTTATTGTAGGTTTCCCTATCCTTAATAGGTTTCAGTAATTATTGTTAACAGTAACACTATAAAAACGATAGAGTAGGGGTCATGGATATAGCTCAGTGGCATAAGTGCCTGCCTGGCAAGCACAAGGTCCTGAGTTTGATTCCCATTTTAAAAAAAAGGTGGTGACAAGTTGGTATTTATTTTAATAGTCAAAGACATACATCAAAACTTAGCCCATCTTCTGTCTTTTTAGTAGACATGCACATACTTCAGCTAACACCCCAACACAGAAGTTCTTTGAGACCCAGACCAAACTCGAGTCCCATTTTCCTCTAAAAAGTCAGAAAAGCTGTGCCTTAGGATGCCTGGGTAGATCCACAGCATCCAGCCACATAATTCAGGCAACTAAAAATCCAGCCGGCCCCCTAGCTGTGATTCCTCAACACTTGGGTATGTACTAACATTGCCAAATAGACTGGAAGGATTTAGAGAACAGGAAATAAGCTGCTGGGAGATAAGGCGGCAGCTGTGAACTATAGACCAGGGAGGAATGAGAATGAACATTAGTTGAGAGAAGCAACATTAGCAATTTCACTTCATTTTTAAACCAAAAATTATCGAAAAGACATCTGTCTCTAGGGGCATTACCTCCTACTCTGTTAATCTAGTTAGAACTCCCAGTGAAGAAATATGTGAATGGGGACCACATTTCCTGTTACTACTACATCTCAACTGATTTAGAATTACAAAAAGATGAAATTGAACCCATGAATATTTAATTTACCCAGCAACAACAACTGCATTGTCACAAGACTAAGAAATCTTTAATGTTAGAAATAATTTAAAAATACTTTTTCAACTCTGCTGTTTTGTGTTGTATCATGCTCTGGCTATGCAGGCTGTTTTCATGAAGAAGAGGGATTTTGTTGATGTTAAATGTGCAGTTCTACATGGCAGTGGATAATAAACACAAAACATACAGAACAATGTAAACTAACTTTTGTCCCCTGAAATAGAACACCTTGTCATCAATGCTATTTTACAGATTCATAGTAGGCACATGCTTAATGCATTAACCTACAGAAATTGTAATTTTAGAGCAGGTCAGTTGTAAATATTGCATTCGTATTTTTATATTGCATTGCATAGTAGCCATTTTGAAGTATTAATGGTTGTGGCTTCAGTGATTAATGTTTGTCTACAAAGAGCAAATTACAGCTGTGTGCACATTTGTGGATGATAATGGTTGAGCCAAGTCACTGTTGGAACTGAAAGAAATTTACTAAATTGACTTGAGTATAATTGTGGGGGTCCTTCACCACCAGTACTAAGACTTAGCTTCTATTTGAAAATCTTAAATTAGAATCTGAAAACTGTTTATACTGATGTCGCATGTTCACAGCGCTTATAATGAATTTATTAGGCACAGAGTGCTAAGTAGACAGAGCTCTTATCTTAGTAGCAGGAGTATTCCTGTTGATTGTCACTAACACTCATCAGTGATTTACATATATTCATGGGTATTCTGGCTTCCCAGTTTGACTTCTAACTTACTGAGGGCAGTAGGAGTGGCTCCTGTCATCCAACTCAATGTTAACCACATAGCATCAATGAAATAAATGTGTACTGAATGTCTAAATCAGTTCATCTTTTGTCATCAGGATAGGCCAGCCTGAGAGAACACTCATCATGGTCAACTTTGAAGTACTGTGTTGGTTTTGAGGTCCATGGCCTCCTGGGACCAATCCAAACCTTCATTACCTTACAGATTTTACTGGGCTTTGTGAAGGCCAAACTCAGATTTGTCAGCATTTACTTAATCTCAAAACTTGTGCCAGTCTTTCTACCTTTTTGATTAGTGAGTGAGAAGAGATGAAAATGATTTGTCTAGATTCAAAATTTTCTAAATTTACTAAGTTCTTTTGCAAAATTTGAGCCTTTATCGTTTCTTCCGATCTCCTGTGTGGTAAATCTTAAAACATCTTGAACCTTCCTTGTCTCTTCCATATTGTCTGTGTTTAGATGCTGAACTATTTAGAAATAAGGAATTCCAGGAAACACAAAGAAATGTTCACTTTTGTCAGAAAGTGGAATGAAACCTGTTCTTTTTTCAGTACTAAATAAATGATACCATCATTTACAAACATAATGAATTCTGTGAAAATTATTTTTCTACAATATAAGACTGGCAGATGAGGAAGTTTCGCATGTCTTTGAAAAGCAGGATACTTTACTAGGTTCTCTGTTTATACAGCAGTCCTCCTGTTTATACATAGTCCTCCTGCCTTGTCTTTGCTTAGGTGTCTGCTATTTTCCAGGAAGCCATATCAGATGTGTCTGGATCCACCCTTCACTAATCCCCTACATTCTCCTGGAGTGTTTTTCTGTGACTAATGCATTCTAGTTGGTTATAGAGTCTGTCTTGTTTAATGAGAATTCTTTTTTTTTTGTACCGGGTATTGAACTCACAACCTCATGCTTGCCAGGCAGCCACTGAGCTAAATTCCAGCTATGGTTATAGAGTCTGAATGTTTTGAGAAAATAATCCTGACCCTGTGGTTTTCCAGGTTGTGCTGGTGAGGTGGAATGAGCCATACCAGAAACTGGCCACATGTGATGCAGATGGAGGAATATTCGTGTGGATTCAGTACGAAGGCAGATGGTCTGTAGAACTGGTCAACGATCGAGGGGCTCAGGTGAGTAGGCAGCAAGCCTCTTGCAATGAAAGTATACCAGGTAGACTGTCCTAGAGCACAGGCATTAGCATTGCATAGCACTGAAACTTTTGTGAGCAAAGTGGAAGAAAAATAAATAATATTAGATCCTTTTCTTTCATTCAGCTTGAGTCACTCGATAAGGGTGTGAAATCATACCTCCTCTTCTACCAGGCTGCTGTTGTGAGAACTCTCTAAGCTATAAGTGATCTGTGAATCATTTTTTTACAATTCAGTGTTGTGCTTACATGCTAAATTTGGATCCTCTGAAATGCTTCAGCATATCACTTTTTTGCTCCCTTTTAGAAGGTATTTTCCCTGTGTTGTGATCTTTATGCTTCTCTCACTGAGAGCTCAATATGTTTATTTTTCACAGCCTACTCACAAAATAAGAGTTTTTAATAATCATTTATATCGGTTTTAATTAATATGGGCATCTGTTGTCAGGGTCTACTCTTCCTTTCTGATGCAATTTGTCTCTGCTCTGAGGAAGACAGGTGCTCCATGGATTGTTCTGGCTTGTGATACAGCTCCTCCGCCTTGAATATGTATGGAGGGGCTGCCTGGCACTCCTCATGTGCTTAGGGACATTTGTTGAGGCAGACAGTTTTCACATGTGAATTTGACAGAACAATGATTGAGAACCTGAGTCCTCAAGGGATGAAGCTTTGTTTGTTTGTTCTTTTGTTTACTTTTAACTCAGAACGATTCCCCTGTAAGTATCTTGCTATACATTTTCAAAAGACAGGATTCTTATCCTCCTCTCTTGCCTGTTGCTTAACTAAGTTTCCCCAATTTGAAAGCTGCTGACCAGTAGAGTGACATAAAATTGCTAGAAATGAAGATATGGGGCTGAGGGTTTAGCTCAGCGGCATAAGCGCCTGCCTTGCAAGCAGGCAGTTGTGAGTTCAATCCCCGGTACCGATAAAAAAGAAAAAGACCAAAAAAAAAAAAAAAAAAATGAAGATACTATTGCCAGAGAGTATTACTTGGCTGAAGATTTCTGTAAAATGTCATCACAAAAGAAAAAAACTACCTCTCTGTGAAAACAGAACATTTTTTGTGTATTTATTTAGTAAGTAAACAACAATATTGACTGGTTCTGATAAAGCACACCTGGGATGAGAAAATTAGGAAATAACATCTTTTTGAAGGAGAGCTGCAATTATGGAAATCTCCATAACCATCACATGTTCAGATCATTTTTTAAGAGTGATTGAGCAGGAGCTTTGAAGTCAGACAGCATAGTGTAGAAATCTCATTCTATGACTTCTGAGTTGGAGGTATTTCAGTTTTGCATGCCTGGGTTTTCTCATCTGTCATAAGGAATAATTTCCTTTGTCTCAGAGGATCACTGTAAAGATTTAATGAGAACGTACATTAAAAGTGCTTATCCCTCTGTCTGTATGTAGCCCCTGTCATCATACATTACTATAGTGTCTACAATATTTTGTGGTACTCCTACCTCATAACCCTCTAATGCAGAACCCATCTGCCTTGAAACAGTAGCCATATAGTCTCAAAAACAATTTTCCCAGAATAGAGATGGCAACTTTTCATGGTTTTCTGAGAAACAGACACTTCCCTTGAGGTTTCCTAGAGGGTTTTTAACATACTGTAACTCTCTAGCCACAGAACATCAAGCAGGTAAGATTCTTTTCCCTAGTAAGGCCTATCATGGGTGAGACTTGTCTTCAGGTTTAGGATTGAAAGAGCAGTTTAAACCATTACTCAGAAAAAGAAAGATGGGAGTTAGGATACATACCAACTATATGCTTGGCTTTTTTCATTTGTTATTTCTCTCAATCTCCATAGGATCCTTATTCTTAAGATGTTTTAATAGTAGAAGAGAAAGATCCAGGTCAGGGACATTTAGTAATTTGCCCATCGAGATTCTTGGGTAGCAAAGCCAGAGCTCAAATCTTGATTGGAGTCTAAAATGCTCCAATATACTATCATATTCCCAGAGCTCAAACCTCGGATTGAATTCAAAATGCTCCAGTATGCTATCATATTCCCAGGCCAAAAAAGCCCCACTATTTTCTCTTTGGCAGAAATGCCACATATTCCTAGCATATAGAGAAATGTTTAAACTTTATTGTTGTTTGAGAGACCTGTTCCACGAATCAAACAGTGCCACTGCCACATGGTTTTCTCCAGGCAGCAACTTCTCAAAGCAGGTGATCGCTGTCATCTCCATAGGGCAGTTGTGTGTGTGTCACCACCTGTCATATCCTTCCATGTTTCTTTCCGTGGAGTTTGAAGCACACAAACATGCCAGAAACAAGAAAGGTAGTCTGAATGCATCCCTGGAGACAAATGAGCTAGTGTGGGCCACAGAACATCAAGCAGTATCCTGAGCCTCAGAAGTACTCGTGCCTGCCAGATTTCACTAAGGAATCTCTGTGTTTTGTGACCTGATCCCAATTTAGCTAATTTTACTTTTTAAAATTTGATTCTTCAAATCTGAGGACCCATAGAGTAGCTGCATCACTATAATACAGTGGTTTAGAGGGAGTACAGTTTGGTTGCTTTTAATTATGTTAGAATCAGAGAGTATCAGAGTAAAAGACAACACACACAGGTGAGGTTGGAATCCTGATCAAGGCAGTGGAGGCTGTGCTCGCTTGGAAAATATCTGGAAGAAAGAAAAGTTCTGGGCCAGGGATTTAGCTCAGCAGCATAAGCGCCTGCCTGGCAAGTGCAAGGTCATGAGTTTGATCTCCAGTACCACAAAAAAAAAAAAAAAAAAAAAAAAGAAAGAAAGAAACAAAAGTTCTGTGCCTTATAAGGCATCTCAGCAAAAAGTACCACTTTTTTAGAAGAAACCACAGGTGATGCATGCCTTTCATTGTCATAAAGTAAATCAGGTATTTGGCAAATGCTAAATGATGCCATAACAATTTTTTTCAGGAAGTGATTAGGAGTCCTTCATTTCAAAAATGAGTCTGAAACAGTACACACGTTGTTTTATAGTGTTAGTCACTGAGGAAGGCTGTGCCGGCATACACATTCTGAGACAGTCTCATAAAAAGCTGCCTTGGGCAACAGTGTGATGGAGCCGCTGCTCAGCTTCAGTTACTCCACATCTGAGAGCTCTCTTTAGTAAAGCAAGAGCATTGCAACCCTCTGCAGCTAAAAACAACCAAAAGAAGGGGAGTTTCTGCTGTCTCCTGCCTCCAGCATTTGGCACTTGGCTTCCTATTTTGTTTTTCCAGTTGTGATGTATTCTTATCACTTCATTCTGACCTAATAAGCCTAATCACTTCATATAAACATTCTGCATGACCTATTTTCTGTGAAATTACTTCTGTTTCATTTTTGTCTTTTTAGAAGATTGCTAAAGTAGAGCAAACGAACAAAAATAGACTCATAGTATTACATGTAGTATTACATATTAGGAAGGTAAGAGAGGAAGAGACAACCACAGAATGGGAGAAAATATTTGCAAATCCTACGTCCAACCAAATTAATGTCCAGAAATGTATTTTCAGTTCATCAATAGAAAAAAATATCCAAACACTTAAGTTAAAATTGGCATTAGACCTTAGTACTGTAGATATTGCTCAAAAGAACACATATGAATGACTAATAGGTATAGGAAACAGTTCTCAGTTTTCATTAATTGTCAATGGCAAAACCCACAATGAATGTTCTTTCAAACTATATAGTATAATTGGTTGTAACAAAATAAATATCAATACTGCCTTTCTCAAGTTTGAATATTTATGATCAAGAAGATAAAAGGTAGCAAGCTTTAGAAAAAAGAAACCCATTACATACTGTTGGTGGGAATGCAAATTAGTACAACCATAGTTGTACCAAAATAGGATGGAAGTTCCTCAGAAACTAAAATGAAACTACCAGCTGACCAATCTCATTACTGAGTATATATTCACAAGGAAATGAAATTAGTGTGTCAGAAACACATCTGCACTTCCATATTTAATATAGCATTTTTTTTGTCTTTTTTGTTTTTATCAGTATCAGGGATCAAACTCATGACCGCATACTTTTAAGGCAGATGCTTATGCCGCTGAGCTAAATCCCCAGCCCCAATATAGCATTATTGACAGTAGCCAAAAAACAGAAGCAAGTGTCCAAAGGCTGATGACTAGATTAATAAAGTGTGATACACACACAAGGAATACCATCCAGTCATAAAAAGGATAAAATTCTGTCATTTGCAACAGCATGGATGGAACTGGATCTCAGTTTAGTAACTGAAACAAATCAGGTGCAGGAAGAAAAGCACTGCATGATCTCCCTCATTTACAAGCTAAAAAATTCATTATTTAAAAGTTGAAGCCAGGCATGGTGGTACATGTAATCTTAGCATTTGGGAAGCTGAGGTAGTAGGATTGCTGCAAGTTCCAGGCCACTTGAGCTACATAAATTAGCTCAAGGCCAGCCTGAACTACATGGTGAGACCCTGTTTCAAAAAGATTAAAAAAGCAAGCAAACAAAAAAAGTTGTAAGTAAAGCAGAAGTTATCGGAGGCTGGGGAGAGTAGGAGACAGAGAAAGAAAAGGAAAGTTTAGTCAGTGGGTCCTAAGTTATAGCTAGTAGTAAAAAGTCTCGTTATATGTGTGTGTGTTTAAATTTTAAAATAAAAAAAAACAATGATACAGAATTTCAAAACAAGGAGATTAATGGGCGCAGCTTGAGACCATACTCATAAGTGAAATAAATCAATCTCGCATGTGTCAATACCGAATAGTTTCCCTAATGTAAGTAATGATTCAAATATATAAAAGTATGTGGTAATCATAATTCCCCATTATGTGGCCTTGAAGCCTTATAAAGTTTTCACTTATCAATTGGAAAGGCTTTATTCTGGGCTTCTTGATATAGAAATATTTGAAGCTATAGTATATGAAGTTATATTCAAATATTTCAAGGAAAAAGAGACACTATGGTAACTACTATTAAATCGGGTTATTTGGTGGTGAAGTACTAGGTTGCTGAAACAGTCATGCTTT